CAATTAATGACTTGCCTAAGGAGCACAATATGACCATTGTCTGAATGAACATCCGCCAAAATTTTAATTCATATGGCACATACGTGGGAACGGCCAGAACTTTCCTTACAACCTAATAGGTACTACAGTACAGTAACGCTCGTACAATTTACCGAAGTTCTCCCTTTTCTTTCCGTGAAGATGCTCGAAGCCTCTAAAAAGAGATTGTGAGATATGGGTAAGCGTGGCGTGCCCAAAAGGCTTGGGAGGTTTGAAATCCAAAGCATGTGTGTAGTGAATCGTTATGGATCTTTGTCATTTAATTAAATCGCTTTTTTTCAGCCAATATGAACAGGGAGACTTCATCATCGTCGATTGCCGCTGGGTGTCTCGATTACTGCCGGGTGGACACAATGCTTCACATGACTTGTGCTCAATACTCTAAAGAACAGACAATAAAGCATCTCGAACAGAGTAAATCAGTCGGACTTCGGAATATTCTCGCCCTTCGAGGTGACCTACCCCATATGGTAGGCAGAGCTTACTTTTTTCATTCTATTTTTACTTACTGATATTTCAATCCTTTGCTGTTGATGTGATACCAAATTTCTGTTTTTTTTTGTCCAAAAAAGCTCGTATGAAAAAATAGTACGATCAGCGCCTTCACTACTTCAAAGGGTGGGATCGAAAGTTGAATCTGAATCTTTCCTTCGAAATAAAATTTTCCTACTCGGAATTTTTCCCTTATTTATTAAAATACTGACTACGTCGCCCTTCTTCAACTCCGCAGATTTTTCATCTTGATATGAGTGATTTTTGTTGGTAAGTATGTCGTTGTTTTCAGGATACTGATGGAGTCCCAATCTACAAGTATCGAGCGCTGGATATGATTCGGTGGATTCGCGAAGAGTTTGGCGATTATTTCACAATTTGCTGTTCAGGTATTTCTTGAATATCCTGTCATCTCTTATCTCCTCTTATATCGTTGTGGTTTCGGAACTTTGTTTGCTGCATAACGGGTTTTGTACAATGTGCATTACTGCATTTGTACGACTAGACAACTGTTTTTATGTAATTGCATCACTTCTGTGGGAACTGATGTAATAGTTCCACTGGAACAAGTTCTGGGTATGATTCGAAGTTGTTTTTAAACAAGTTTATTAATTTAGTAGTCAGAGCCATCTGGGTTATGTTATCAGTGATTAGAGAATAAGACAGATACTGATTTCAAAAATACAGGACTACCAGTGGGGGAGCGGTGCTTCTGAACCTCATTGATGGTTGTCTTTCACACGATTTAATTTGTGTTTCGTTTCGATTTGGATGCATTAAATTTTCTGATTTTTGCGAAAAAGTGCAACGGTTTGATGTTTTTCTAATTAAAAATTTAATAAAATCCTAAACGATACGTAAACCGTCTTCTGCTTGTTCTGAGATTACTGTCCTACCTTAAACTTCAGTTTGTTCAAAACATTTCTTCTTGCATGTATTGGTTGGTTTGTGAGAAAGGTTACTGTATTCTCGTTATCTTTGACAATATCGTAAAACTTCTGGAAAATAGTGTTCACCTCTTTTCGGCGCGGTTTCATGAATATTTTCATTGACGAATTGATTCTTTCGGCCGAAATTCTATATCCACTTGCGGTCACGCCGTAGAGTTGTACTTTGGTCTAAGTATGCTATAGTTTACGAGAAAATCGCGCTATACTCTTATCTGCCGACCACACATCAATCACTCACTTCAGGTGCTCAAAGGTCATCGCAGCCAAAATAAAAATCAGAAAACTTAATTGAAATGGTCAGAGCGCAATCTACGAATAGTGTCTAGTCCTCAGGGTATATGCTTTCTTTCAGGATACCCAGCTGGTCATCCCGAATCCCCATCGTACAAAGCCGATCTGCTGTATTTGAAGTCAAAATGTGAGGCAGGCGCTCAGTTCATCATCACCCAATTGTTTTTCGAAGCCGAGGTAAGAAGAACTCTCGTACCCTATCACTGCATCCTTTCATTCAGTCAACATTTTGAAGGTATTTGAAGAATTCGTACGTGATTGTCGTGAAATAGGCATCACAGTTCCGATTATTCCTGGAATCATGCCAATAATGGTGAGCCATAGCTTTTTTATCTCTTTCATTGTTATGTAGCTTGGTTTGTTAAATCTTCACTTAGTTTTATTCCTCACTGTTTTTTTAGGGCTATGACTCAATACGCCGTATAGCTACTCTATCACAACTTACAATCCCTGAGTCTATTCTATCTGATCTTGAGCCAATCAAACATGATGATGATGCTGTTATGAAATACGGGACCGTGAAGGTAACCCTTAGAATTACTTCATTTGTTTGTTAGTTTATTGATGAACGATGTCGAGCGTTTAAACAAACGCTCTTCTGAAAGGAAGCGCATATAACAAAGGCTGCTTTCATAGTCCACGACCAGTCGCGCGAACAGTCGCGCGAGCGGTCGCTCGACTGATCGCGCGGGACCGTCCACGGCCGCACCCATAACTAGCGCGGCCTCCTCGACCGATCGAGCGGCCAGTGGCGCGACCAGTCGAGCGACCGGTCGCTTGCGAGATGGGTCCGCGACCAGTCGCTAGCGACCGGTCGCGTGACTATGAAAGATGCCAAAGAAAACATCACTTAGTACGGCAGTATCAACTAGAATCATTCAGTTGTTCCACCACACATGATCTGAGAAACACGTAGAGCACAACCCATCCGAAGGTTAGAGAATTTCGGAAAAGTTTCAGAGAATGTGCGTGTCTAATTGTCGTACGAGTCTTGCCCGCTAAACTGAGTCATCACTATAGGAGCCGTTTTAAAGGCACAGTTCACGATAAAAATGGTTTCTGAAAATTCTCTATAGAATGAAATCGAAGCCTCCTCTTATACCTACAGGTCGGATACCGCCTAGTTAGGCGTTGTAGAGGCCCAAAAATTGCATTGTGTGTATGCTCGGACGAGTTTCACGGGCTTTGCATAGGCTGCATCATTCACAAGGGAACCCATGTAGACAGTTCAGACAGCTTGTCGTGACCCATAGCGACAGTGAAAGACAATTTGTACAGTTCTGGCCTGATGTATTCAGCACTTTGCGCAATTGCAACAACTGAAATCTCGTCCGAATACCCCTTTCACGTTATTTCTATCGTGATAATCTCGTCCAACCTTCATTTTTCCTACTTTTGAAAATCCTTATTTTTCTCTCACATTCCATGAGCCATTCACAACCAATTTTCCCGCTTTTTGAATAAAAAGTTATCCCTCAAAGTTATCTTTAACTGAGCATTTGAGAGTGTTTTTTGATGTGCATGAAAAAGCATTCGTTATTGGTACTGGAGCTGTTTAAGAGGGTCCGAAAACGCTTTTGTCAGCTCTCTTTGATTGTATTATAGGCCTGATATGCACTTCGCTTTAATGTTAAAAGCATAGTTCGCGATAGAAATGGTTTCAGAGATGTTCCTATAGTATGAATTCGAGGCTCTCCTTTATACCATATCTGTCGTTATAAGTTCAAAAAAAATTCTGGATAGGGCACATTAAGGAACCAGAGATAGTATCGTGTGAATGCCACACCCCTAGTGGACGAGTCCAACGGCTTCGTAGAGGCTGCACCATTCATAACGGAACCAATGTAGGAAGTTCAAACAACTTGTCATCCCATAGCGACAGTGAAAGGCAACACTGGACAGCTATAGTTTGATGTAGTCAGTTCTTTGCACGCGCGGTAAGCTCGTACAACCTCCACCTCCACTGCTTTCAAAAAACTTGAAGTAGGCGGATTTTCTCGCTTTCTTCGCCACATACTCTCTAAATCAACACTCGTTTTCCAACCTAGGAAGGGTAGCTCAAACTTATCGTGAACTGTGCCTTTAAATGAAATGGAGTTCATGCAACGTCTCGGCGATTCAAATCGTCCTAAATCGCTCTAACTTACATCCAGTGTTTTTCATGGATATGTAAAGACCAGTCGGGTTGCCCGGTTAACGCCTGGCTTCCCTCCTTCTTATGACAGAGTTGTAATGATCGGCAAATCTGCGCCTCCTTATTTGGAACAAGTGATACTTTGTGGTACACGAAATTCGGCAAAGGACTAATGGGGCATGCAAGTGAAATTTAAAATGTGCCTATCTTACGCCCTTGATTTGATGTCTCGATATGTTGCTGTCCATCTTAAAAGTAATGACCCATTGAAGGTCAACTGGTAGGCAACCAAAGCCTTGAATCGTAAATGCTGTCGAACCATAATACCACCATTATCAAATGCCTTTATCAACGATGCTTCTTTTCTCTACGGATATATCATTAGATGAAAATCAAAGATTATTAGCGGTCGGATAAGTTTTGCGAAGAATGATATCGGAGCAAAGAGAAACCGTTATTTTTCATTGAGACGTAAACTTCGCTTGGTAGTGGTCGTAAGGTAATAGCGAGAAATGGACCCAATCTTATCTCCTCGTGAATTAATACCCTTAATCGGTCCTTATCACTGCCCTTACTCTCAAAGAGTCAAAGTTAGAACGTGAATAACAAAGGCATTGGAATATGATAGGTAAATGGTCCTTGTTTTCTAAGGCCTCTTCTATCGTCAATGTTCCCATCCTGCTCCTCTATTCCTTCCAACTTTGTACTTTCCAAGTCCGGGGAAACAGGATTTATGTATTTCCGATCAAACATTTATTTCGCGCAAGCCCCGCCCCGTCCATGGGAGCAGGAGTTATGAGTTACTGGTCGAGTGCGCGCACACGCACATTCACACATACGCACGTACACACATAAACACACATACACACATACACATTCTCATACACATACGCACATGCACATACACCCGCATACATACACATACACATATACATATGCACCACACTCACGAGACATTAGCGCGTGATATATAGTGGGATAGCTTCTAGTGTTCCAAGCGAGATTCAACATTTAATTGGAATACTTTTAGTGGAGATAGAGTTTTCGGGGGGCTAACCACTGCTATGGCCACACCATTGAGTTTGGTGTCTACGAAAACAGAATTTAGCAATAAATCCAAATCAGTCAGAAAACTTCTGAACAGCGAAGTATCATGAACGGTACAGCCTGTTCGCTTAGTTCAATTTACCAGTCGTCAGCGGTTCTTCTGTGACCATTCTTGGAGCTGAACACATCGTCGAAAAGCATGGCTCTTCTGTATGTGTTTGTCTTTTGTCTGAGTGTATGTTTGCATGTCTGTATGTGTGTACGTGTGCATGTGTGTTTGTGTGTCCGACCGAAAATTTATAATCCTGTTTCCTTAGAGAACTTGCTAAGGGAATGCAAGGCGCGCGCTTAAATTGTTCCCTTGGACCCAAGACTTTTGAATTACTCCTACCAAAACTACTATCAGGAAACATTTGCGGTAGACAGGAAGTATTAAAAGGAAATCGATTTCATAGACGTTGGAAAAAGCGGTTCCTCAAGTTCTCCCAAGGTGGGCACAAAGTTCGCAACAAATAGACGCGAACAGATTGGATGTGTTTCCATGTGTCATTATGTCATCAACTGTCCACCAGCTGATGGATGCAATATATTGAGTGGGTTTCGCCCTGATCTGTAGCAGGCTCTCATGGAATGTACAAGGTGCGCCATAAATATGGTAACAACTTTTCGAACCTCCGTAATTTGCTTGTTCGAAGGGTCTCACCAAATCTGCACCTCCCCTTATGTTTATGATATACCATATATGATATAGGCCATATATCTACTTTGGTGCTCTCAAGTCGTCAAATTTCGGATAACGATGAAGCCACACAATTCTCCACCAACGGTCACGTCTTTGCGCGCGTTCGGTGGATCCTTTTCTGGGATCGCTCCTCGTTTCAACATTTCCCACATGACAGTCTTGAACTGTGATGGTAGACAGGTCAACGACAAACCTCAAAACGGTCATCTCGTATCACTCACCACCCCTTTTCTGAATACAATAGCTTGGAAAGGAGTACGCTACGGAACCTTCAGAAACACTAGAGAAATGACTGCTGATATGTTTGTATGTTCTACTGCGAAGAGAAGAGTTCACCTCGAGTATATAAATGGTATCCAGATAGAATTCGAAAGTTTTGTAAGCTTTTCAACACAAATGCCGTGCTCTACTTGCGTGCGGCACGCGCTTCGCCACATTTGTGTTTGACTGAAGAGTGTTCAGCGTGAAAGAAATGTTGAGATCCCAGAATATACGTATATTTCACACTACGAGTGCTTAAGTCGCTTAGAAGAGTCGGATCGCCTCTCGTAGCCATTTTACCTCTCTTATGACGGTTTGAACGAGAATCTCTGCCATCAGAACGATATCGAAAATTTTGGTCGAGAAAAGTGCAAAACTTAATCTGATCTTCTTTAAAAAGAGTTTTTCTGAAAGGATGCAGGTTAGGGTCAAAGATTCTTCTAGGGATACGTTTTGAAAACTACGGCGCATACGCTCACGAAATGGAAAGGATCAAGACTGGTGCTGAGGGAATTTTCGCGATTTTATCCCAGCTTTCAATTCTCCTTTGAATTTCCCAGACCACAATTTTATGGGTCGCTGGATATAGTCTATACTAGAGAAGAAAGCCTGCGATACCAAACGCATCACTGTTGCTGCTCCTGAGAAACTGAAAAAAGCCTGGGCTGAAGTTTCTCAAGAAACTCTGCGTGCCACCGTCGATGAGTAGCCAAAGCGCCTTCTAGCTATACTTAGTACAGGAGACGGTTATATAAGAACACTGTCTGACTGTTTTGTAGATGCGATGCATAGTAAATAACTCACATGAAACTACAGTCCACATTTGCATCAATAAGAACTGTGGTCTCTGTAGCCCAATTCTTTTGTTACCATATTTATGGCGCACCCTGTACATAAGAGCTTTTGATTATAGTGGCTTAAAAGTATTACATTCAGAGATATTCAGTGATAGGGAGAAGTTAGGTAGTAGAGAATTATGAAATATGATCTGAACTGGTTGGGTCAAGGGTGAAAGACATTTGCTTTGTTTGTTGTGTACGTGATCAAGGCAAGCTCTTATTCTAGCTTTCAGAAGCTCCACAGACCCCTGACTTTAACTCTGATTGCGCTGCTGTGTTCTCTCGTAAATATTAGGGTGTCCGGAAGGTTTTGAGAAAATTATGCCTCTCAACTGTGAAAGCATGTTGCTCTCAAACGCGCCAGAGAAGGACCATAGATCCGATAGCAGGGGGAGGATATTGTTGATTAGGATATTGTTCAATATTATAGCTGATCGGTATTTGACGTAGTCGTTCGAAGTAAGTAATCGTCGATCGAACCAAGTGCCATCGATAAACTGCTGCTTCTGCTTCACCATTAACAGATTGATCGCTTCGAGGCTCAGATTGTGATACGGGGATTGATGGTCTGTAGTGACCCTTTCTTGTCGCCAACGTCCCGATTGTTTCCTCAAGTGGAAATTCGCTTCAACGAAGTTCGTCAAAATAAACATCCACTGTCTTTTAACCCATTGCGTACCGCAGTGTTTTTGCGCTAGCTACCGCTATGACCGGCGTTTTCTTCATAATCGCCACGGCGACGTGGTTCACGGCGTGCAACATGCAGCAACAGCGATTGTTCGAGTGAATCGCAAAGATGGGCTGCTCGAACTTTATTCAAACTCTAGAGTAATTTCGGATGAAAACGCGGGCGCGCAGAGGCGAAGGGGCGTGCTGCACCATGTGCAGCACGCGGCACGCAATGGGTTAATATCAATGCCGTACTAGCCGCCCGCAGAGCAATCCTACTCGAAGTGTCAGAAAATGGCAAAAACTGCGGCAGCAAGTAAGGAATACAGATGCAAAAGAACTAACCTTAAAATCATGTCAAAATTAATAATCGGGTATCGATTGAGCTGTATGAAGAACGCTAGAACTGTAACAATATGGCGAATGGTCTGCGAGCGTGCGGCGAACTGATTACAGGATTTCAAGATTTATTGAATGTCATCAATTAGATGTGGAATTGACGCATTCCTTGGTGGACTGAGCGAATCCGACACGTTTATTTCCATGATCGAAGACTGTGTAGAAGTTACGAAGGAAGACGTCACCAAGAATCCAGATAGGCCCTGAAAAGTAGTATCCATTCGAACATCGCATTGGTTTCAGTGAGGGACATACCAATTGGAGGAGGAATTTCGAGTCCCAAGAAACCGAGCACACAAGTCTGGTTCATCTGAAAAATGACATTGTTGCGTCAGTGTCTTCTCAACAATTCATTTAAATCGATATCCTTGCCAATGTTCATTGTATAGGCATCCACATTCAGTGATTACCTGGACCACGTAGTCAGAACCTTGAAGAATGAAGTCTCGACTACCAAGGGTGAAGGTAAGTGCTGGTAGACTTGAGGTAGAGTTGCATTCAATTTCGTATGTGCCTTGTGCACTTACTTTTGCTCCGGCGAGATTTATAATCTGAGAATCGAGTAAAAGAAGGATTCGAGCAGGAGCTCAATTCTGCATCACTGGGAATCACCTGTTGTACAACACTCATTGGGGCAGTAATGATGGAACTGCCAGTGTCAACAATGGCTTGTTGTGGACCGGTAGTCAACGCCGTTCCTCTGCTGTACACAGGACCCAATTCGATCCGCCACAGTCTTTCGGCTATCAGAGGTACCCATGTGATTACTCCCTTTGAATAGAACCCATTTCTAACAATTGAAGGATGATAAATAGGAAGGACGAAAATTTTGTAGTACCTTATAATGTGCTGGGTCCGTCCCACAGATAGTCAACTCTCCAGCAGCACCCCGGTCGTTATTCGCTCCGCCCATGTAGAAAGCAAAGAGGGCTTCCGGGCACATTTTCTACAATATTTGAAGAATGGACAATCTGAATCTGAATCGACTATGGCACATACATGAAAAATTAGGCTGCTTTCGGACTATGGCAGTGGCTTTCCATTTGTATAAGAGAGGATTCAATAATTTCTGTTTATCAGGCTTCCTTTAGAATCTATGGCTTGAACTAGCTTCCATCCACTTTCCTGATCGCTGCTTTCGTGGTGTTTATTGATGTTGGGGAAAAGTTACCTTATCAGCGAAAATCTGGTCCAAAGGTGGCGAGAT